AGACAAAACCAGGCTGCCAAACTCAACATAAAAGTGTTGTCATTTTGAAAGGCTTTCTATGTCTGCTATGATCCAGGTGGAGTCCTAGCCATGCTTCTGTATCATGTCTGCAGCCGCTACCTGATGCTCTAAGCTGAGCCCAAGATGCTGAATTTGTCATCTTTTCAATAGCACAGCAAGGCAGAGTGGTGGGGAAGCCCACTCCAAGTGCAAACAACAAGAGGGTGCATAGTCTGCAGAAAATTAACAACAGTAGTAAAGCAGCTAAAGGTTGATCTGCTTGCTTATTATTATCACCACCTCCCAGCAATTCTTAACAATGTCAGTGACAACATGCTCCTCTCCACCAGGCCTCCTGCCCCTGCTACTCCATTGTCCCCTCCCCAGCTAGTTCCTTCTTCGGTTCTGGCATTTACTGTCCTGTTCAGAGTCCTATCCAACCCCAAAACTATTAATGCCTCCACATCTGAGGCTCTGTCTGGGAACTATAGAGCCTTCAGACAGGAGATGAAGGGGCTGGGAGCAGGGGAGGCAGGAGTAAATGACAAATGTAGCTCCTGAGGAACTTAAGCTTCTCAATGAACTCAGAAAGGCAAGGGTGAAGCCCCAGCTGTCCCAGCAGTGTCCTTCCCCCATGCAGCAGGGTCAAGGAAGTGCTTTGAAAATATTTGAAATATTTGATTCCTATCAGTGCACTTGGTTATTGGGCAATGGTCAATTATTACAGATTGTCATCCCGGAAGAGCTACCAGAGCCACTCCTGGTGAGGCTGGGACTGGTGTGTATGTGGGATGGGGGCTGTCCCCACCCTTTTTTTTATCTGTGGCACTCCCCACTGCCTACCATGACTCACCACATGGATATCTCCTTCCTACCTCTGTTGAAATGCCAAGTAAAATAAAGTATTTCCCTGTTTTTTTTCTTTTTAAAGTTTAACAGATCTCCCTTACAGCATTAACATATTTTAAAGCACAAGTTGACAATCAAATTGAAAATGAACGTTGCACCGCAAATGCAAAAAAAGAAATTCTTCCCTGAATATCATCCTGTGAACTTTCACATCTCCCTGAAAAGCTGTTAAGGAAGAGATGGAAAACTTTCATCTAAAGATTGCTCAGTCTGAGTTGAAGAAATCAGATGCTTTTTGAGAATGGCAACCTGCACTTGGGCCTTGTGCTTAAGAATCCTGAATATGAAACCAAGAAAATCTGATGTATCATCCTTTGTTACAGGGTCCAGAGATTGATAGACAAAGCAGTCAACTTTCAGGGTAGCACCAAGTCCTGTGATAAGACAACTTCAGTTTCAACATCTACATGAGGAAGCTGATGTGAAGAAGGAGTATCAACATTGATACCAAACTGCTGTTTTAGCTAATAGAGGAAATACCAAAATCAAAAGAAAGCAAACTGCCATTGAGTGGATTCTGACTCATCATGACCTGATAGGGCAGAGTAGAACTGCCCTGTGGGGTCCCCAAGGCTGTAAACTTTTATGGAAACAGACAGCCTCACGTATCCTACAGAGGGGCTGATGGGTTTGAACCACTGAGCTTTTGGTTAGGTATAGTACTTTTAATAATTTCTCCCTACCTAAAAATCTGTGGACTACCAAAAAAAAAAGAAGAACAAGTAAGTCTTAGAAGAAATAAAATGAAAATGTCCCTTATAAGCGAGGGCAAAACTTCTACTCTTTTACTTTGGAACATCATCAGGAAAGACCAATCGCTAAAGCAGGACATCACGTTCAGTAGAGGGTCAGTGAAAATGAGGGAAACCCTCATTGAGATAGATTGACAACACAGCCGCAACAGCAGATTCAAACATACCCGTGATCATGAAGGAGGCGCAGAACTTGGCAACATTTTGTTCTGTTATACATGAGGTTGCTATGGGTTAGAGGGGCCTAATGGGACCTAACAACAATTACCACCTTAAAACCAGCATATGGTCTCAAAGAATCCTCCATCCCACCTCAAATATGCCATAAATAACTACTAAACATGACATCCTACTTAAGAAAGTCACTTGCTGGATGCAGCACATGTCAGTAAAAGTTTCCCTCAGGGACTACAGAGTGTTGAGACAGGAGAGAAAACAGGAGGCAAATGACAAATGCAGTTCCTGAAGAAAACTCTCAGGACCTCCTCGGAGTGGCTCAGGCATTCCCCATTCTTACTCTCATCCTGTGATTGGGTGTGCTACTGAGAGCCAGCTCAACCCAAATCCCCACTGAGGCTGAGTCACCATCGGGAGTACCCCAGCTCAGAGAAGCCCTCTCTACCATCACAACTACATAAAAAACACAAACTTTCTTGTTTCCTATTCTGAAATTCAAACAATTGCTGACTGGAGGGTACTGTGTTTATACATCATAAGCACCTTAATAATACAGAGAGGGAAGAAGACCATGTGACAACGGAGGGAGAAATTGAAGTGATGCAGCTGCAAACCAAGGAGTAGGAAGGATTGCAGGCCACCACAGAAGCTAGGAAGAGGAAAGGAAGAATTCTTCCCTAGAACCTTTAGAGGGAGCAAGCCATGCCCACATCTTGATATCAGATTTCTAGCCTCCAGAACAGAAAAAATGAATTTCTGTTGTTTTAAGCCAAAACAACAGCAATGATAGCAACAAAAACCTTAATAATATCAATACGGTAAAAAATTGGTAACTATCTAATAAGACTTTTAAAAAGAGAATGGTTACAAGATTTCCCAGGTACTTCATGCCTTAGCAGATAGAGAAAATGATCAAATTTGCTTGACACATTGGGGTCAACTGGAGATAACTTGGAAGCATCTATAGAGAGCTGGGTGAAAAAAAAATGCATTATATTTTCTTTATATTGAGTAATTTTGATAAGAAAAATAAGTAAAAGTAGGGAGAAGATTAAATATTTAATATGCATTAAAAAGTCCCAATAAAATCATTTTTAAAATTGTTATCAGGGGGAAAAAAACACAATTGTTAAATAAATTATGGCACAGAGGACTACACCATACAGCTTATAAAAAAAAATGCTCACAAACAACTTTTAATCACTTAACAAATGATCTCAATGTAACATTAAAATCCTAAAAAACCCTCACTGCCTTCTAGTCGGATCCGACTCTGTGGTAGTTAAATTTGTATGTCAACTTGGCTGGGCCTGGTTGAGTAGCTGGGCAGCTGGTGATAATTTTGCCCCATGATGAGACTGGCAATCAACTCCATGGTGGGATCTACCACAAGCAGCTAAGTAGTTGCCTTTGGGATGTGGTTTGCTTCCTGTATATAAGCAGAAGCCTTGGGGATAGTCTCTAGCTTAAGGCACGCTTGGACCCTGCATATAGCCATGTTGTTGTTCAGTAGCCTGCCATGCTCTGCCGACCTCGGGCCTTACAAGGGACTTGAATTAATGGCCTGCCATGTGGTTTGGTAACAACAGGACTGTGCCATTTTATTTGTTAACCTTGGGCTTGTCAGCCTCAGCAGCCAGTAGCTGTCATTAGTGAAGAGATGTCTCTAGCTTCAGTGGGCTGGGAGCAAGAGGCAGAGCTGAAGCCCAAGGTCGAGGGGCTTTCACAAAACCCCTAGAGCCTGGCACTTTGAACTTAGACTTAAAACCTCCAAATTTTAATAAACTCCTGTTTGTTAAGGCCATCCCATTTGTGGTATATTTCTTGTCAGAGAGTTATTAGGTAACCGGAATAGACTTATAGTGACCCCTCCTTGGGTTTCTGAAGCAGTATCACTACAGAAGTAGATTGCCCAACCTTCCTTCTGAGGAGTGGCTGGTGGATTTGAACCACCAGCCTTCTGGTTAGCAGTCAAGTGCCT